TTTTAAACGCTGCTTATTGAAGTATTTGTCGTCATGGTGTAAAAACAAGATTGATACCGTTATCTGGAGTAAGCGTATTTTCAACAATCCCCCTGTTGTGAGTCTCTTCACATTTAAGTTAACGCTTTACTCACCCTTCTGTGTGTTTACAGTAAAGCTCCATTTTGATGCGGAATGCCTTTAAAGAAATGCCGCCACACTAAGATGGCAAGCAAAACAGCTACACTTGAAGAGGTCGCATAGCCATTCACATCGTAAGTGCACATCTACGCCAAAATAACTGTAACATTAGGAGAACAGCAAATCGTCTTTAAATTTCTTCATTTCGACATAATACCAGGAAAATTGTATGCTTGGTGGCCTCCCCAGCAGTGCTAGGCCACTTCTAGAGGTGGAGTTAGTCATCACCAAGTCAATGTAAGCATGTAAAGAAAAAATTGAGGTCTCTTCTAGTTCTGACAGTCACCACCTCATGGTCTCCAGTTTTAATAGTCGTGGCGCAGTGGTTAGCGTCAAGCAATATACCTTACGTACTATACTCTTGGGGCCGCTTACACTTCTCAAGTGACGCTTAAATTATTCGTTTTGGCATGTAGAAGCACTGGAGTGTCTGGACTGTGCTAGTTGACTGGCCCCAATGATCCTAGTAGCGAGCGTGGAAAACATCCGTTTTCACCGTAACCCATGGGCGAACATGTTAATCCAGCCAGCGAACGTTAAGGCTGCTCCAGAGGAATTTAAAAAACTAGCTCAAAAGACCACATTTTCATTTCTAAAGAAAATAAACAGGAAATCAACACCTTCCGGTGCAGCATTTTAATCAATCACTCCAGATATCCTTAGGGATATGACCATAAGTTGGAACAAAATAAGCACGGTAAGCAGTGCAAAAAAGATAGTGAATATGACGTTTTTACAAAGAGTGAGATAAGATTTCTTTGGCCTAGCAACTACCTTATTAGGGTCACACACCACAGTCAGTTTCAATCTAGCCTTTACGTTCCTCCGCTTCACCTCATCCTCAATCTCGTCTTGCACATCTTTAGGCAGGATTGAAGATGGATTTTCAAAAGTTTCAGCTAAGCAATTCATGGAATTCTTTTCAGGATTTTCAAGGATGTCAATCCAGGATTTCAGCGTCGCCTCACTTGGGTGTTTACCGTCACGCAGTTGTGCCTCTATCGAATGGCAGAGATTGCGCATTGCGCCATCCTCGCCCTCGCCTCCTTGCAGTAGGAGCTCCTGTAGACGGCTTTGGAGACTCATTTGCGCCTCTGAATGGGTGGTGCTTACGGTGATGTGATGTGTGAGCCATTGGCTTCCATGCAAATGCCTTACTGGTTTGGTGCCATCAACTAATGAGTACATTGGCTGGACGTCACGCGAGGTGCAAACATGGCGATTGGTTTGTTTGTCTTGCACAGAAATTATGCCAAACATCTTTTCGCTTGGAGTCTTAGCAGCTACTGATAATATGAAGATGGGTGTGTGGCAGTATAGTAAGCAACCATTTAATGCATCGAGCACCTGAAGGGGCACCCTACCCTTTTTTGTCTTTTCACGCAGCAGTCGAATTCAGGCCAGATGTCCTTTAGGATCCGGTTCTCTTACAGCTGAAACTAATGTAGCGCCCTGAGGCATCCCTGAGGATGGAAGATGACAATGCTAGGGTAGAATATGTGCAATCGACGTAGAGAAGGGGTTGGGGTTATTGGCGTGGCCCAGATGTCAGTCCGCTCGGTGGACGTACAATGGCAGATCCCCTAATTTGCCCTTTTTCAGAAAGGGGAGTTAAGCACACTATCAACCTATCACAACCTGAATTGACCAATCAAAATTTATTTTTTGTTGCAATTCCTGAGGAATCCAAGAATTCGACCATAGAAACAGATAAGTTGACTTTGCTGCAGTTTCTAGCGTTAAGCCTGGAGATAAGTTAAAGATTGTCTTAACATCAAACTACCAAATGCTGTGACCTTCATCCCAAGAGTAAAGAGGCGCAGTCAAACCCTTGTTCTCCGCCATTGAACCATCACATCGCACCGGAATTTTTGTCCAATCAAACGAGTTTTCAGCGTAAATATATCCCATCGTGACCTTCCATGGTCGCATTTAAGCGATTTCCTGTAGGTCATGCTAACCTTCCTTGTCATGTCTGTACTGTTTCGACTGTCACAATCGATTTTTTTTAAATATTAATGCCTTCAAACCAATTACTTCGACCTTTCGACCGCAATGTCGTTGTACATTACGGTATCTAAGATATTCATCCTATACTGCTAACAGATTTAAATGAGGTAAAGTCAGGAATTCTCCATTTCCTGGCAATGCATGACAAATAGTTGAAGACAGTGCGGACAGGAGGTCCTTTATCTAAACTAGACCTTGATTTGTAAGCCAAGCAAAAGGCTAACATAGATTTCCCTTTCACTCCAGATTACAGCAGTGATATTTGCTGTCTCGTCACTTATGTGCTCACTTCGCACCCGTACCTCCATTTTGGATAGTACTTTAGGTAGGATTTGAATTTAGGCGCCATTTTGTCCAAGCAAATTTCAACAAAGACCAATAATATAAGCCGTAGGTGAAATCTACCTCATGCAAAGTCGCACTAAGTGTTCCAAATAGGCGCAGGGTGTCGAAAATTTGCGGTAATTTGGGGTCGTCTACTACGTCGTTGTTTGTTCAAAACAAAGCTACCACACCATCACGCCGCCAATTTTCTCCCGAAGCCATAAATCACAACTGTATTTTATCCCTGTTACTTCAGTCATATTGGAGGTGTTGGACTGCATGGGTCTCTCCCAACACGGCGTACTCGACAGATCAGGTGCAGGCAGCTTCTCGCCCCATTTCGATGTCTGGTTGTCAAGGCGAGTGGCACCGCTGCATTCGTTCCCTCCACCCCTTGGTTCGGTGCCATCATAAGCATCTAGAAAAGGTTAATCGTCACCCTCAGAGATTTCCGTCAAAAACTTTTCAATGCCTTTCATTCACTTAATGGTAAGCCTCTCTCAGTACCGTTGGCCAACATTTGGTTTGATTAGCGATCTGACAAGTGTCACACCTGTAGGACTGAAGTAAACTGAAATCAAGGCATAACTCACGACTCAGTGTGGAATGGAACAGTAAAGTGGTCTTCGTCGTTCGGCTACCTGACCGTAACTTCTCTTTTAAAAAGGAAAAACAGTAGATAGGGTTGAAAACAAGTCAGATTAGAAGTCCATTTGATTTATCTTTTGTGTAATCCAAGTTTACGCCCAGCCGACTGTTTGCGCTCTTATGAGGCTCTCATACTTTATTAACAGCAGTCGCCTTAGAAACTTATCAACATATTAGTGATTGATGAAAAAGGTTTAAGGAAGATTACTTGATCATCAATGTAGAAATAAGGAGGGCAAATTTTGCTTATTAACTCCTTTGATAGCAGACTGCTCATTTGTTCAGCGGACTAACAAAGGGGAGTGGGCTGTATGACAGATGGGTTACCATGTTTACTGCAGCCGAAACACGACGCCATATACAATTTGAGGCACGCATTCTGCTCCATTTTGTCCTCAATCACATACGCAGAAACAGGTATAAAATGGCCTGATACCTTGCAACAAATTGCCCTAGGTTATCAATTGGAAACTTCCAAATGTGGGTTAAGGTTTACCTTATTGCGCCTCAGAGGAGCGTGTGGGCAACCCAATATGAAAACATAGGCAAAATAGACGGACTAATCAAAATACAGTATATCTTGTGGTGATTTCCGCCTCCATTTCTTTCAGTGGAACAAGCCACCATGGTATTGCCAATAGACAGCCAGTTGACACACACTTGATCGCTCGAAGGTACAAGTAAATAGGTTGGTTTTGCTTTGAAGTGGTTTTTTTATTCATATTTATCCGATGCAAGCATATTTTCTATCTGAAATTTGTATCACGTACAGTGTTCCTGTTCCTCCACATGGATAGGTGAGACAGCAAGGAGATCCTGTTTTAGCCATTCAAGAAAGATGACAGGAGAAACAGCAGACTCAAAGGAATACTCATAGGTAATCTTGGGGTTAGCTGATCTCATCTTCTCAGATAGCAATAAAACCAATTCAACAGTTTTCCAAAAAATACTTCACGATTCACAGACCCTCCTCGGTCAGTTAGTTCGACCTCAAATTTCAAGATTTGTGCTGACGGAAGCCAAAACAGCATTGCAACTTGCTGCAATACCACCCGAATTTGCACTATTAGACATTATAATGATCTGGAAAAGCAGACACTATCGCTATGAAGAACTATCGGAGCAGTAATTCCAAATTACTATGTGCATACTTTGTCGATGACATCATGTAAGTTAGTAGGGGGTAAAACTTTGATTTACTAAGTGGGTCGATGTTTTGTCTTTTATCACTAGACACAGGAATTGTTGTGATCGCAGTAGATAGACGCCAATCTTCGAAATGGTTTTTTAGCTTCCATTACAGTGGTTCGCTTACTTCATACGCAGTCGTTAAAATATCTCCCTAAAAATTCCATACGGAGGAAAAAGAGTCCGTGTTTATGAATGAAGAGGGATCAAAACCGCAATTACAACCTTATTCAATTTGTTTTGTTTAATTCAACCTACCTCGCTAGTCGTTACCATGGTTCTAAAGGACTTTTTCAGGATTTTTGAAAACACTGCAGTCGAGGGGGGAAGGTGTAAATCATAAGGAATAGAGATAAATACTGCTTTCTGTTTGGCCACAAAGTGCAAAACTACACACGCGCCGACTACATGGAATTAATATTCGGACAAATGATTCGCCTTCCCCTTAAACTGATTTCAGGAACGAAGTCTGCCGATGTGAGATAGCTAAGATTACTAGTTTCCCTGCTTCACTGGTTTTCTCTATGGAGAGGCTAGATATTCAGGAAGTGTAAGAAAGTGACCTTTAAGGTTTTGATGCTTTCTTCCTTGGGCCTTGTTTTATTTTCCCATTGAAACGGCTTCAATGGGCGTTCAGTGACTCTTCGATGACGTTACGCAACAGTAGATTATTGCTTTTAGATGCAGACATAGGCACAACAGCTTCAGTAGCGGCAGCAGCAGTGGTCGGGGGACCTCAGCAAGAGGGACATGTGAGGGCGCAGGATCGTGCATTGGGGTGGTATTGCAATCGTGGTTGGTGGGGTACCGAGAGAGCCCCCACCCCATGCAGCCTGAGAAGGCAGCTCTAGACTTTGGTACCCACCTCTCTCTTGCGCGGGTCTCCACCTGATTCGTCAACGTCCGATGGCGGCCCAAAAAGGAGGAGGAGGCGGCGACCACGGCACCGAATCTAAGCCTTCGACGTCGAATAATCACTTTTGTGGGAAGAAGATTTGCTGTTACCACTTAATTTTCTGTATAATTTGTATACATGACCATTCCCCTGCATGTGTGTGTGGGAATTGTTTAGTCGTGACCCGGTAACATTTGCGGCCGCTTGTGTCAATGGTTTTCGTTGGCCACAAACTTGATATCTGGGGTTCACTGTTAAAGTATTTTATGGCCAAATAAAAAGCAAATTTGTAAAAAGCTTGCAGGATATTTTCCAACCGGTTCAAGCGATTTAGGAAAGGGGAAATGTGTGGGGCGTTCAAAGAGGGGAATTTGCGTTGTCCCATTTTAAGCTAAATCAGTGTGTTGAAACCAGTATTTAGGAATTAAGGTAACTTTACGATCACTAACTTCATAAGTACAAATGACTTCATAATTTGCCCAAAATTTGCGTAAGAACCGGTGAGGTGATCGGTTCTTCTCAGGCGCAAAATATTTCGTCAGTTTGGTAAAGTCAACCGTCACAGTACATTCACCACCTTGCGGGCATGTGGTGGTAAAGCATAGTAAGTACACAAAGTTCTCCAGTTGTTAATTCTTTGCTCTCCACCTGATGCTAAAGGCGTATGCAACTGTAAATTTTACCTAGCGAGTTGACAAAGTACCTGACAGCTTATTCCAACAAGTGTTGCGATTGTAGGAGTCAAACCCAAATCTCGCAGCGCCGAAAATCTCTTTGTGCGGCTCTTCTGTCAATGCCAACGACTGCTCCCTAAGGGTAAGAGACTAGCCGATGAGTAAACCGGAATCGGGCAGGTCATGCGGTCATTCACCTTTATTACTACAGTGACACAGTGTTCGTTCTGCTGAATTCGCAAGAGGAATGAAAGTCCGTCCTCAGAGCTACCATGATTTCCAACTCGATGGCCTTTAACCCCTTCCGGGTAGTTACCCCAAAAGCCGACTACCCTTTTGGGGGACCCAGTATACCACTACCAAGAACCTCTGATTGGGAAACTTGTAGACAGAAACGACTTTTGATTTTTTTTATTTGCTATGGCACGACTCATGTAAGTACCAGGAGGCAAGCCAGAACCACTTCAGAATCGTGACAAAAAGACGGGACGATACTCACCACGAAATATCACTTTATTCACATTAAACTGTACAATTTTGAAGATTCTCAAGAGTTTACTTTTTCCGTGAACGCTTGCTAGCCGGTTCCTCTTCATTTTCCGACTCCTCTACGTACTCCACATCTTCTCTGTACTCCTCCTGCTCTTCAGATGCACTATCACCTTCTCCATCACTTTCGATATTACCACTGTCACCAACCTCGTCAGCAGACTACCGTAATATAGATTGTTAAAAAATGTTGTACTCAAAATAATGGAGGAAAAACATGGATCCAAATTCACCAACCTCATCATCGAGGAGGCGCGGAGCAGTGCCAGACTTCTCCAACTTGCATGCCTCCTTTGCCTTTTTGCGCTCGAGGCGGTGCTTCTCGCGGATCATCGCGCGCCACCGCGCCTTATCCTCCACGTCCACCACAGTGCGCAGACGCTCGCGCTCCGACGCGATATCGAGTCGGGCCGGAGGGATGTGGTCGGTGGTGGCAGTGTCGGTGTCAGGAACCAGATCACTCACCGGCACTCCACCTACTGTCCTCATCAGCGGCTATGCACAACAAAAAGGCGCAAATAAGTGGCCATAAAGCAAACAATGAGACTAAAACCCTTCACAGACTGTCAAACATCGGTGGAGTAATAATAGCTTTAATAGTTGACACGATAAGCATGTGAAGAAATGAGGTTATGAATAGAGCACGCACATTTCCCTCTTCATCAAATTCGATTTTGGAGTGCGGTCGAATGTTTTTCTTCAGTTCCCTCTTCGCCAACTGAACACGAGTCAGCGTCGTTTTCTAAAAGAAATCATGAGAAAAAAATGTCAAATTTGTGTATTTGAACTGGCTCCCATATTTTAAGAGTGCGACTACTGTCGACAGCATCAATGCAAAATCTTAGGGATTTAAGTAGTACACAAAAAACCCAAAATAGGAAAATATGGATCTATGCTGTACACAAACTAGACAAGCGACAATGGTCACACACACCTTAGCAAGAGCGTTCTTCAAAGCCACCTGTTCCACAGTCTTGTCTTCACCTTCCTGCGCCTTCTCTTCCTCGTCGAAGGAATCTTCCTCATCACTGGAGATCACTTCAAGGATTTTCTGTCCGCTGGCCTCCACCTTCGTCTTCACCTCGGGTCGAAGGATGGAGAAGGTCTTGCGCCGCAGCAGGCCGTCATCATCACTATCAATCCCTTCCTCCTGCTCTTTATCCTTGCTCACCTCCGTTTTGCTGTCTGTCAACAAGAGTTTGAGCTTCTGTTGCAGTTTTGTGTTGACAGCTCGCGACGGCTGGTGTTGAAGCATGACCTTCGGTAGCTCCGGTGTCAGGGGAAGACCTTAAGGAAACGCGAAATTGGGAGTGTGAACTCTATGCCGATTTGTGTTTAACAACGAGGAAAGGATTATACTGCAAAGGAAAGAAATTGGACACAAATTTAAGCTGGAAATGGTACAGAAGTGCGCCCCAATATTTGAACATTTTCGATAGTGCGAAGATAGGAGGGCAATTTGATAGCGTACATCTCGTGCCAGATCGGTAAGCGGAAGGGTAAAATATTAGAAACGTGTACTACAACGAAATTCTCTAAATAAGCAATTGAAATAATGTCCGGTACGATACGTTGCAAATTGGTTGCCCCAAAAGTAGGCTAATACTTCAAACACTATGAGCAGAAATTATGAGAAAGTTTAAAGGCATGAAATTTGGCTATGAAAATAGATCGTGTCTGCCGTATCCCGTCCACACCAAGTGAGAGATTTGAAGCAATCAAAAATGGTGGAGAAGTGCTTGTGAAAAGAAAATGGGTGGATACGTCCGCAATAAAGGTCATTAGCGCGACAGACTCTCTCCTTTAAGAGGCTACATTCAACGACCATAACATCTTAGAAGGCAACTGTTTAAAAGCAGAGGAGATGTCGCACCGAGATAGCTTTTTAGGTAAATCTAAACCGTTTCCAACAGTACTTAGCCACAAGCTGCTAAAAAAACTTGCCTATAGTGCCTAAAGAAGAGGATCTGGGAGATTTTAAACATATATTAATGTGAAGAGAAGCACCGAGAGAGGCGGCAAACTCATCGATGGGCAGAGAAGAAGGCTGAAAGACGGAGGACATGTTGGAGGATTCTGCAATAGCAGTGGACCCGGTGGCCTTGGGGATGAAACAGTAGTCGCGAAGGTAGGCAGTGAATGCAGCACGCGCCGACGCCGCCAACTCTGGCTGGCTGGCAAGGAGGGCAGGCGCCCGACTCGTTACCACCGGTTGGAGCTTGGACTCGGGAAATCTGTAAAACTAATAGCCTGTCAACAACATTTCTGCCAGCAAATTGCCATCCACATACCACTTAGTATAGATGGAAGGCAATATTTCGTCAAGCCTTGTTTAACTCCAAGCTGGATTAGAGGTCAATCCATGACTTGGTGATTTGTAGCTTATTCATGTGTGTGATAAAATCTGATCTTCAACATTTACACCTCCTGTTCCAAGCAATTCTTAGCCAAACTTGTACGGCCGACTATATCATTAGGAAAAACCTTTGCTATGCAAAAGCTTTATAAACGAATTGGGAAAATACTTCAGGTAAAGGCATGCGTCTTCCAAACTGTGAAAAAGACACCAAGACATGTGGACTAGATGGAGGCTAAGAAGAGACGCATACATGGTTTTGATCATGCATTAATTCTGAAATATCTTTCTTCATGGATAACTGTCTCACATGGACGCTAAGAAGTTCCAATCCGAAAGGTAACTCACTGCTGCTGACGAAGGTAGACGTTGCACTTAGCAAGAAGTTCGACGATTTTGACCTCTGACGGGAGGAGGAAGGTGATAGCACGACCCACACGCTCAGCTCGCGCTGTACGACCTACCCGATGGATGTAGTCATCAAGCTGCTTTGGGCAGTCAAATTGCACTACCCAGTGTACCTCCGGAAAGTCTAGGCAATACGGCTCACTATTAAAAATCCATCAAAAAGCAAGACTTCGTATTGGTGAGCAGTGATGACTTGAGTTTCTCTGTTATCACAGACACTCGAATTAAGATGAGCGATATCGTTAAGTACAATGGATGGTTAAAAAACCTCACGTCTTCGACCATCAACTAGAAAGGATGGTTTTTGTCGGCGCTTCATTACAATATTTATCACTCAAAAGTTGAATAATGACTACGGATCTTATTCTTGCATTCTACTAAAGAGGAGCGCTGCTTTGTCATACGCCTTTGGTAGGCAGAAAGTGTAAGCGAAAATTCGCCTTTACACAGGAGGTCAGGATTGAACCCCCATAATTCTGTGAGTGGGTTAAAGGGCTCAAAGTGTACTAGCTGCGCATACGGAGGGCTTCGGATGTCCATCTATGCCCACAACCGTAAGCAAAGAATAGGATCCCGAACTGATCTATGCAGATGAAAGTTATTACAAGCCTGGCAGTGACTAGTGCGTATACATTGCTCCAACCAGAAAACGAGTGGTAACTCGAGCTCCTGACATGCAACAAACATTTAAGAAGCCTCCTTACTCTTATGCTACCGTAGGAGAACAAGTGACAGGGCACATTTAAGAGTTCTATTTGACTAGTTCCTTGGCAAACCGGTTGCCCTTATAGATTGGCAATGACCGTGTGATCCCGCTGAACCGTTGCCTGAATTGCACAAAGGGAGCAGCGCCCCATCATGGACTGGGCATTCTGAGCAGACGAGATTTTTGGAATAAACATTCATCCCTTTGACGTGTATAACCGGTATAGATGGGTAATTTTAAAAGTACTGAGATGGCCGTGCAGATGTAATGTGTGTAAAGTGTTTCAAAAGTCCTGCTACATCCACAACTACGAAGAATGGTAAAAGGTTTCTGGAACCGTTTTTTGAAGTGAAAAGAACATCAGATGAAGCAGGTCGGGGAGGATTATTATGATTAATGAACCCGCAAAACCTACTTAAGGTTCCTAGTAAATTTCAAGAGCCGCCTCGTACCATTTTATTATTAGCTTGGGTAGAAATTTAAATATTGCTGCAAAGTAACAACTACGAAAGCAACGCACCCAGACCGCGTTCAGCAACGTTCGTAGCGAGTAGAACTGCGCCCCTAGGAGTTTGAAAGAATTTTTCGTAGATTTTAAACCGCTTGCTCTGCAACATATTTCCACGCAGCTGCAAGACGGCAAAGAATGGGCGCATTTTCAGGAAGAGGTCATGCACGAATCGAACCTTTAACAGAGGAAACAAAAAGGCATGTTAAGCTGAAATTTTAATGAACTAGGAAACAAACAACCTCAAACCTACTTGCTTTTGCGTGGAAAAAAAGACTATGACCTTCTTTTTGCAGTGACTTTGTAAGAAAATCCACAGATAGTCCAATTTCTTCCCCAAAGGCACAACAGAATAGAACTGGATGAGGTGAGCTGGAGTCGCACCGACACCTTTACTCTCCGTCGAAATCATTACGGGCGACTTCAGGCCTAAAGGTGCGAGCTGGTTATGAATTCTAAAAACAGAAAAGAACAATAAATCGAATAAGACTGCAAAAGAGATCTGAAGGAAGACGCGTAACTGACTTAGACAGGGTGGCAGAAAAAAGAAGACACTGTCGATTGGTGGTGAGGTTTTCTGCTATGATAAAGAGTTCGCGACAAAAAGTGGGATCAAGGAGACGGTCCACCTCGTCTAAGACAAGAAAGTGGAGATTGGACATGTCTAGTGTGGGGTTCTCTTGTTGATGCTGTGAGAACCTGCCCGGTGTACCGATGAGAATATTTGCCTTTGCAGCTCTCTGCCACTCCTCGCGTTTGCCTGTCTAGGGGGAGGAAAAATTAAATACAATTGCAATTCATTAGGATGTTCGGCGTGATTTCATTCCAATCTTTTTATTCATGTACATTCTAGGATCACAAAGAAACGGTTGCGCAACAAAACGTTGTTTTTGTGTAGTTCAATGTTCAGAATGTCAAGTCGTCATCACATCCTCTTCCTTTCACCTACGTTAAGAGCCCCCCAAACCTTTTGTATATTTCAATAATGAATTCACGACTAGACTAGTGGCTATTACTTCGTCATCAAAGGTGGTTTTCATGGGTGACAATTCCAAGCGAACCCATGGCGAAGGAACAATAAACACTACGCCTAAACATAGCGAAAAAATCACATTACGAATGGCTAGATATGACGGAATTCGTTTTAGAGGGGCTAATAAAACCTCGTCGATTTCTGACTGCCAAATCGACCTTAAGTCCCACATAATACCCATTAACATAAAGCGACCGAATTAGGACAAATCGTAACATTAGAGTGCTTGCAATATTAATAAGAACACAAGATCTTTCTTCATGCTGCTTTTAGGCAAAAGCTCCTGCGTAAAGCAAGTGGTAGACAAAATGCATTTACTTAACGACACAGTCCAGTCTTAAGTAATAATCAGCGGCCAGTCGAGATGCAGCCACCAAAATGCACCAAATACGTCTATAGCGTTGAAATAAAGCATCAGTTCCCTCTAACAAAGAAGTACTGTGTAACCTTTGTTCCCGTCTGCAAGCACCAAAAACCAAACTCCATGGGAGGGAGGGACCGTATAACAACTATAATAACATATAGCAATTACGGCTACCACACTGATGTCATGATGTCTCGCTCGTACAACCCTTATTGCCAGCCTATCAAGGCTCGTGTATGCTGAAACAAGCTCATCCATCATTTACCGATGGCGCTTGTGATAGAGACATTAAGAGACCACATGAAAAACCTACCCGAGTCTTTCCCCCCATAATGTCAAGCATTGTAAAGCTGTGAAATTTCCCGACACGGTGAAAGACGGCAAATATTTGCTTGGCCAGTTCCCGCGTGGGAGTAAGAATGACGGCAACGGGACCGTCAAAAGCGGTTATTTTTTCTGTATAGATATACTCCAAAACGGGGATGACAAATGCTAGAGTCTTGCCACTACCGGTCTTAGCCTCAACAATGACATCCCTGCCTGAAAGTGAGTGCTTAAGGGACTTCCTCTGAACTGCGGTTGGTTTGATAAAGGATGCAGCTTTGAGGCCTTTTAGGGTTGGATTAGACAGTGGCAACTGGGAGAATTTCTCAACTGCCGAGTCATCGATCTAGAACGAAATCACATGAAAATACATACCATTATTAAAATGAAAGTAGGAAGGAGATAGGACTCGGTGGAACTACTTAAGAGCACAGCTGAAGCATGAATCTTTTATGAAATGCAAAAACACATAGAGAAGATATACTTACCAAGATATAAAGGCGGAACACGGAGCAAAAAAGTTAAAATCTTTCACTACCGTCGATTATAGGAAAAACTTATTCAAAGATTAGACAAATTCTTTATGTAATCAAGACGAAATGCGCGGGCTCAAATCCAGAAATGCTCTTAACTTCCAGTACGGGTAGTAACACTACTACTAAAGACGCCAACTTCGTGTTAAAGAAAAAGCTTGGGAAGATTGAGAGTTCACGCTCACGTACATCAGTAAGGTTCGAACGACGAGACAAAAGGTCAGAAATCTGCTCGTTCACAATACTTGAGTTCTTAATTTTCTGCCAAATCTTTAAATGAGGTCGGCTGCGCTTATTAGTGCCATCCACAGGCTGCATGATTGTGGCATGAACGCTTTTAATGATTAATAGGGTTAACACTAGTTCTGTTGGCCAATGAACTTAAGAGTAACTGACATTCTTAAGATGTCAGCTAATAAAAGGTTATCTTTAATTTGTATAAGAACATAGGGTCCGAACCTGTTTCCTCTAGCAAACAAAAATCACTAGAATATCTCTAAGGATAGGTGGGTTGAAATGTAATTATCCTGCACAGTTAAAAATAAATAAATGACAAAATAAGGTACTGGTTCATGATTATTAAAGTTTGCTAACTATTTAATCACACTCAATAAGTTGCACTTAGTTTTTTTAAACATTTGGAAAAGTGTGCCGCAATTTCAAACTTCATAATTTATGGTCCTCGAGAATAAAAGTGATCACAACTATGTGATACTAATGTAATACGATAGTGGCTTATCCCTCGGTTTTGGTGAGGCGCCACTCTTGGACTGTGAATTAGCCCCCTTGTACCTCGCTGGGTGGGCTGGCCTTTTGGACCATGCCAATAGCCCAGACACCTTCTCCGTGCTAAATATATATTCTGCCCGAGTATTTTGCCTTCTTTCGTCTTCAGAGAGTCTCGAGACGCTACACTGCTGGCAGCGGTGGGATGGCAATGCTATGTCGGTCATAATATTTTTTCTGCCTGGTATAAGACACCCGTAAATGTTTGCGTGCAATGCTAGAAGTTCTTTTTATACCTTCTTTCAGGCTCAGTATATACTCCGGAACATTGTTGGCTGATCCGTCGGCGTTTGGCAGGAAGATGTGGAAGGCACTCTCATTTCTAGGCCTGTGAGCATCCTAAACAGAGAAACACCCGTTAACCTATGGACCGTGGCTCTGTATGCGGGAAGAACGCGACCTAGACTCAAATCCTAGTCATCTGGTTGTGCGTCTTTGGTGAAAGCCTTCAGTAGTCCGATCAGGGTGTGATTCACTCTTTCCACCTAGCCCTTGCCTTACGGGTGTGAGGGTGTTGTGCGTGTCTTCGAGATCTGGCATATCTTACATAGCTCAGTGAAAAGTCGGCTCTGGAATTTAGGACCTTGATATCTATGAGCGGGCTCGGGCAATCCATGCTGGCAAAGCCACCGATTGAAGAGAACTGAAGCAACCTTTCAGGAAGGAGAGGCAAAGTTACAATTCGAATCTGGTCACAGTCGGCGTCTCCCAAGCCCGAGTGCGATTTCGGTTCCTCCCCTCCCTAAACTTTATAATTGTTATCTAGATCCATTTCTTCCTAATAAATATGTTGAAATTAAATCAACCGGGTTGCTCTAGGAGCATTAGGAACAGCGGGGGTGACACCTGTGAGTCTGTCCCCACAACCGTATCCATTATTGACGTGCGTGGAAGCACATAGCATTGTTGGCCTGTAAATGTGCAACAAAGTCTTGCAAAAACTTGCCGTTTTAACAAATATGGAAAAATTCAAATTTTGGCTTTTTCTTACACGGACTAATATTTTTTATCCCACAATACTGATGTCAAGACAACTACCTACATGTGACAAACTATCAAAGCAAACATTTAAGGCTTCGATAATCCCGTTTTAACTGACATTTTTTGGCGTTAAGCAATCTTGCAAATTTTAGAAATGTTTCCAAAGCACTTTTTGTCAAACTTTTTAAAATGATAAATCTGGCGGTGATTGGTGGTCATATTTGGACCTCTTTGATAGGTCAGTCTCTACAGGGTTTGTTCTATTTTAGCTTCGGGTGTTCACCTACTCTCTTGATCCCATGAGGAGGAGGTCGGTTTATGGACATTCTTATAAACCATTTGAATGTGCCCAGCATCTATACCAAGAAAACTTGTCTTTTCGCCTCCATAAACGCTTAACTCAATTGTCTCATCAACCTTTTGATTGGCCTGACGATACTGATTCGTCTTCATCACCAGAACGCATCCTTTGTGGTGGACATGCCCGAGTGCAAGGTGTCCCTACCTGTCCGCTGAGTCCCGTGCCTCCCTCCGCATCTGATTCTCCTCCCTGTAATAAAGATCCCAATTGCTCTGTGAAGCGCGATGGTAAGTAATTAGATATTTTTACACGTTTCTAGAAAGTATACAAGCAGGTACTGCATTAGTTACTAGTTTGTACAATAGTTCCATGTCTCCGTCGCAGCAGAATTTGTATATATCAGCTGGGAATAGTTGGCTTCGGAATTATAAAAACGTATGTATGTTTTTTACATCCAAAAATTCACTATTTTTGTAATTTTCATTCATTTACGCTTACTTTGCTTTTGTATATTAAACGTTTTGCATTTGCTTGTCTACTTTAAGGACAGGAAAAGTGGTAAAAAGAAATGCGCTTTAAGAAATACACTCGCAGCTGAAGATTACTCTTTGTGTGCTCCTAAAAGTGCGTGCGCAGCTAAATGTCATTTTAAAACAGCACTGGTGGATGAGGGGAACTCCGTAAATCCTTCTGAGGTGGCATGTTTGGCTTCTGAACGTGATCGTGCAGTTGAAAATGCATCCATCACTGCCTGTAATGTTGATACAGCAGCAAATGCCTCCGTAGCTGCTAATAAGAACAAAACTCCTGTTTCGGAAGTTGTTGCTTCCAGTGATTTTAGTTTCAACCCAAAGGTTAAATGCTCCGTGGCATTGTCATCAGACCACGGCAGTGGAAGGCACTCTTATCGTTCATCAATCTGTACGGATTCCCACGTCAGCGCTGCCTATCGTGACGAAGCTTCAAACTCTTCCCGAGTTTGTGCTTACGGATGTTCTCAAAATTCCTGCCGGAACCACTGTCACTAATCCTATTAAACAGTTTTTGTGTGTCCTTGTTATCAGACACAGGCATTCTTTTTCACCTGTACACATTCCTAAAGCTCCTCCTTCCCCCTCTTTAAAGATTGTTTCACCAAATTTATCATTTGCTTATTTCAAAGTTGCCTCATTTTGGTTATTTTGTTTAATAAAAATCTGGGTTTATCATTTTGCGCTTCTTGTTCGCCCGTGTGTTCGTCTGATATATCGCTGCTTACAGGCAATGAATTCATTCTTTATGCTTTTGCACTGTTTTTTGCCTTAACTGATAGCTTAATGAGTTGGCTGTGAAACTGAAAATGCCTGAAGTGTTATCTTTCCTTGATTTTGTTAACAAGATGGATGAAGTTCTAGCCTCAGGCACGGTGGAGATTTCTTCGGGAGTTCCAGCGGCTTCCATGCCCTTGGTTCCAACTCAGACTGCGCCCTCTCAACCGGGTGTTTCTGAGGCTTCAAAAGGTGTTGTTCCAGCTCCCGGTCGAGTACGCCGTAGATCCACCTCATCTAGGTCTTCTAGGTCCATGAGGTCGCTCAGACGCGACATGTCTCGCTCCTCTTCCCCTTCCTCCGATCGCTACTACCGCCGCAACCGTCATCGCCGTTCTCGGTTCGTTCACTGCGTCTCCGTTCTTTTTATTCTTGGTTACCTTGCTGTGTTCGTTGCTACATTCTTATTCATTTCAGTTCACGCAACCAAAGTCGGACCAGGAGTCGCTCAAGATCAAATCGTTTTCGTCACCGTCGTAGATCGAGGTTTGTATCATCTTACTGCATTTAAAGATTCGGTACACCTGCTTTCAAATTACTTGTGTCCCTTTATCGGAGTGCAGTAGAACCCCATCCTATCGGCCACCGCGCCGTAGGCAGTACGGACGTCTGCGACGATTCTCGCCCTATAGATCCCACCGAGGGGGTCGCGGCGCTCCCTACATCTCAATCTTCCCGCGCCGCGACAGTCACAGTCCCCTAAGGGATGGAGGCGGTCCAGCGCCACTTCTCCAGCGTCCTGCTCGACTGCTACCACCGCCTACAGCAATGACAACGATGGGACCGGGTGGAGGCAGCCCGCTAGCCGGCCGGATACCACCGCTGAACGAGCGCTTTGAGGGTCTGGTGGAGGCTACATTACGTCAGCGCCGGCGTGAGTATGGTGTGCCAGGGGGCCTAGCTTACCTTCTTCTCACCAACCGCCTCAAATTACCCCTTCCCACACTCATGCGTGAAGCGAAGGAGTTATCTGTTGTGATTGAACGCAACCTTCCACCGGGTTCGTGTTTATTTGTACCGCTTTCACCTCCTTAATGAAGCCTTCTTTTGATGGGTGTATTTTTTCTTAATTGCAGAAGTTGCTGATCCGACTGCGGAAATATCGTTTAACGTGGATTTAGGGGTGAATTTTGTCTTTCCTCACCCCCCAAATGCGGGAACTAAACCTGTCTTTGATCGTGAAGAGGTGGGATCTGTTTTTTTTAAAGGAAAATTCATTGTCTAGAATTCGTTTTCTGATCACTTTGGTTCAATAAACCTGATTTTGGGATGCATTTTGGATCGGTGATTTTTGCCTTATTAAATGTGGTGTTTTTTGTCGGCTTTTCAGATACCCACTTTTAATAAGCCAGAAGACCTGGAAAAGATCACTGAACGAGCGGCTGCTTCGTTGGCTGCTATCGCGGCTAATCGTATGGGGTGGGTTTTTTGACCCTAGAGTAGGCTAGTACTCGAGGGACGAACATTGCATTGTTCTCTGCTGTTGTTTCAGCTCTCAGCCGCCAAACAGCGCCTATGGAGAGATAAACAACAACATTAACAATAATACCAACAATTTAGATAGGTCTGATCGTCTGAGACGGGGTAATGCATTTAGTCATTTGGGTGAGTGCTTGTGTAATTTAGCCTCATTTTGAACCCTTTTCTTGTGTGTGGCCTTGTACCTTGTTTCTCCTTTTCTGAGGCCTCTCAAGCCCCCTCGATGTTCCAAAAGGATCTGCCTATTTTATGGTACGCCTTGCTATTTGATACTGTTTTTTGCTCAGCTCGACAGTTATTTGTCCTCTATTTTTTGCTACTAGTGGAACTACTCGAGCATCAGTTTTAGCTAAATACTGGAGTAATGACCGAAGTAAAGTTTTGCATTTAACTTGCTTTGTGGTAAATTTTGAGATTGCTTTTGCTCTCTGAATCACCTAGGGATCTCTATGCAAATACTCGATGAACTTTGGAAGCATAATTAGTAAATTTTGCACAGTTACTCGTTCCACCTTTGTCTAGCAAGTCTTGTGATCTGTAGAAATCAGTCTATGCTGGTGGTAAAAGCTTCTATTTTAGTTTTTGACATATAGATCAGATTAAAAACTCCTATTTGTATTTGACGCTATATTTATCCCGATTATCTCCCTCTCTCTCCCTCCATTGTATCGTGTTTTTGTGCATGGAACTCATTGCAAATGTCTGCAGTAATCGCTAATGGTAAATTCCTTATTAACTGACTTCATTAGCCTTCCAAGTATGACGCCTATTATCTTCTGTATCATAGGAATTATTATATATTCAGTAAAGCAAAATTGGTTGGTTTTTATGGGAGAATAGGAATCAAATGGTTCTAGTATTAGTCCAATTTGCCACCTTTGTTTGCAAAACCGTCTATTAGTATCAACTCTCTTCCAGTTGCGTAGGCTTGTAATCTTAATCACCTACCAGCATTCCCTACAGTAGGTCCTATTCGAACCGAAAGCGCAATCGTTCAAGTATGGGATACTCATCCAGATAACCGAGCAGCTATTTCACGCTATGAATTGTCTCCTTGCCGCTTGCTTTGGGAGGCAAACGGTTTGCTGTTTCGAAGGTGATGCGCTAGTTAGTGGATCGGCTGTCACTTTGCCCTCTTGGCTAAAATTCTCATTGTAAATTGTGAAAACAATCGTACGGGGAATTGTTCATCATCCTCTTCATTGCCAAACTAAATTTAGAGATAAGCGTGCTGAGCGCTACTTATGTAGGCAGGATCTCACTGAGAATGGTGGGTTGTTTTAAAGCTGTATTTTTTCCCATGAGGTGTGCTTAATGGCCCCTTCTCTTACTATCTTGAGTGTCCGGGTAATGGAAGCAGCCAGTGCAGTAGGGGTGCTGGGAACACACGAATTTGTCTTTTCTTCAGCACGATGACCGCGATGGACGTCCATATGGCTGGCGCAGGAGGGACTTCAACGAACCCTACCCTCGCGACACCTGGCGTCAAAGGCGGTTAGATTACGAATATCGCCAGACCGAAGGTCTGTTTCTCCTTTCTGATCCTTCTACTCCATAAGTTGTGTCATATTCATGCTTTGTTTTTCTGGACATTTCTGTGTTGTGTGGGTTTTCACTTCAACGGTTCTTTACTTTGACCTTTGAAGCCGTAAATGATCCAGCTGCTGCATGCTTAGAACCAATTTTTCAAATATGAGTCGTTCTGTATCACAATGCTAGTGTCCTAGAAGATTTTCTTAAGGCTTCCTAGTGTGTGCAAACTCCGATCCCTATCTTGTCAGTCTGCAGTGACTGGGGAAACGTGCACTTTCGTTGATGGTATCCCAGTCTCTTTCCTTCCTTTTAGTTTTTTTATAATCTTAGTTAATTTTCCTACTGACTACCACTATTCATTATTGTCAGCCAAAAATTATCCATCTTCGTTTCGTTCATTTGCACTTCTGCCTCAATCAAGTTAAGTTCATAAGGTTTTCCTCTGGTTCTTTTGGTGTTTCCGTTCGCTGAGGATCCTCATTGTCTAACCCTTTATTAATTTAGCAACTCAATGGCTGTCACTCCGCCGAAAATGGGGCTGATCGACGTATTGCAATTAAAATTTGTTACAAAAATTCGAGAGTCTATAGTATTTCGCTTCAAAACTTTCGACGTCATTTACTGCTATCTTGCCCGTGCCACAATTACGATGGTAGCAGGTAGCCGAATGAGAGGAGGGGCGGAAGTGTCTCATCTTGCTTTGAGGTGTAATTACAAAGGTACTCGCAGTTCCCACACTGTTTGTCTGTGACCTCACTCAGACGCTCCTGCTTCCTCTTTTCCTGATAGCCCAACCCTTTTCAGCTTTACTCACTGCAGTCCTAATCCTGCTGCAGTCGAAGATTGAATGAACAATGAAATCATTCAGCGTTTCCGTAATTCTTCTTTGCATGTGGCGGGTGTATCCCCACTTGTTAGTTCGCAACGCTTGTGGAACCTGAAAATTTGTTTATAGTGCCTTGGTTTTCCTCCCTTCCCATCTATGTGTTCTGAGATCATAAATATATTTACATTGTGAATTACTACCGGTTTAGCAACTAAAGTCGTATCACTTCTTCATACAAGGGTTTATGAAGTTTCTGCCTTCTTTCGTCCTGTATTTCTTGCTACGAAAGATAACTAGTGCATGCCCTAGCTCAGCTCCTTTGCACTTCTGCTCACCCAACAATCCATTCCCTTTTGTCTGCGCTTCAATCCCGAAACCTTCACTCTTCTCAAGTCGTCCAACCCTTGTCAGAAGTGTTAATTTCGGTTTTGTTGTTTAAAAATTAACAGGCGCTTTGAAATACAACTACTCGTCTCTTTTTATTCCTTTAGGCTACCGAGGAGCCAATCGCCGTTGGACACGACGCTCGGATGAGGAAAGAGGTGACCGGCCGGTGGAGGGCGGACGGCGCTGGGGCTACCGATCAATGCGTTATGGAGGTCGTGAGGAGGTGGAGGAGGCGCGATGGTGTCACGACAAGTTTTTGGAATTGGAGGGGGATAAAAACGACGGGGACGCTGAAGCCTCGCGTCACTTCTCTCCCTCCACCACGAATTCACGTCTCAACCGCCGTGAATCCAACTAGCCATCATCGCCGTTGTTTTGTACAAATGGACAGGCCCTCTGCCTCACCTATTCCCCTGCACTCCCCATGCTTTCTATGTGTTGTTCGCATCTCACCGATGTTGATAATGTGTATCTGCGTGCGCGTGTGGCAGATAAAGGTGTTTTTTTGCGGGGTCCCACTCCCCTTCTCAAAGATGAGACGCCAGTTGCAAATAGCTCACTACATCAACTCGAACCCTGACTACTGAAATGAAAGTACTTGCAGTAGATTCGCCTCTGATGTCAGGTAAACGCTTGGGGGTCTTTCATGGTGGGGAAAAGTGATACATCGTCCTGGCAACGCATGGGATTTAAAAATCACTTGGAACGTATGTGGCTCCACAGGCCTGGGTTGGGTTGAGTGGGAGCCGTGTTAAATTAGTCTGAGAGGCAGTAGTTTCGGATGTGTAAGTAGTGCGCCGTCATATCCCGCCACTTATCACTCGGTGTTTTTTCGGGACTAACCTGCTACGGGGACTTCCCCACTTGTCGGAACAACTTTACAGTTTCCATAATCGTGGGAAGGGTCCGATGTAGCGCTCCGAGTCTCGCCTGAGACCGTAATGAACCAAAATGTTACTGGGGAACATACATCACTAACGCTTAGAAGAGCTAGGAGACCACTATCAAGCCTCGAAGGTTGCACAGCGGAGTGGGGCCGCAGTGCGACAATTATGTTGTTTGAAACGTACCGAGAAGCGGACAATTGACGCAAACCTTCGTGATGGAGGAGTGGCCAGAATCCCTCAGAGCCGATGAGAGCTCAGCATTCCCATTGCCCCAAATCTGTGCTGATTCTCGTTAACTCCAACTAATGAATATGTCCTAATCAAATCGACCTATTAATTCAAGGACGGTGAAGGCCAGATGGAAGGAGAAATGCAGGGAACGCGCTACACTAATGGCAACACTGGCGAACTTCTTCCCTTTTCAAAGACGATATGAGCTTTGAAGAGTGGCTCAAAGCCGCAAAATTCAACCTCTCTATCCTCAACACCAAAGAATACTCCAAATTCTCCATGCTCTCCTCCAAGATTTGTTTTGGGCTACAAGTGACACCGACACCACCCACGATACTGACATCGAACAATATTTCGACACCTTGACTCAACTCGTCTTTGATTAGGAAGAGCAGACCTTTGCCAGAGACTTCTTCCTTCGCTACCAAAAATCCGGTGAGGATGACGAGGAGTACGCTAGAAATCTTTAACATCTAGCAAAACGTGCCTTCCAAGACTCAATAAATAGGGTCGCTATCTGGATAACCATTCAATTCAAACACGCCGTCCAACCTTCCATTATGGGTGAGAAGGTATGCGGCATAAAGACCAACTACCTCAACCAACTGGCCAAGCTCGCAACCACAAAGTGCCAGGAACTCCGTACGTCCTCACTTTACCAGATGCCCAACAGATAGGCAAATTCGGCAACATCACATCGTGCTCCTTCAAGCCACACCCCCAAATCAGGTAAACCTTCCTTTCCACCATCCTTTTTCTTCCAAAATGGCCTCCATTCATTTATTTGAGTGAAAGGC